GATAGTGGTTACTACCCCAGGTGTCATCGAGGACATTCCAAAGAGATATTGTGGCTAAGTTGGGTGAAATAAACGAGAGGTCAATGTTCGAGTATGAACAAGAGTTGTATGTTGTAGTTATGTGCGTATGCCTACCATCGTTAAGTAAAAAGAGTGTTTGGAAGTCAAAATCATCAGCTATAATTTTACCATTTGAGCAGTTGTGCTCACTTCCCCAAAGGCTGTGATGCGCGTTAAAGTCGCCTAATAATAGAAAGGATTCAAACCCTTGTATTTTAGTGATTAATTCATTCCAACACTCAGCTGTTAAGGTGTTATTAGTGGGGGTGCGATAGCAAGCAATAATATGAAGGGGGCCTGCTTTGGTAGTTATTTGAATAGCACTGGTTTCAAAACCCTGGTTTGTAAGCTGTAAATCAACTGTGTCAAAGATTAAGTTGTTCTTAATCAAAAAGGCAATACCACCACCTCTTTCAATGCTGTTTCTATCAGTCCTAACAGTGTTAAAACCTCGTATGCTAAATTTATCCTGAGGTTGAAACCAGGTTTCAACCACAGCCACAACGTCAAAGTTTGTGATATGGGATTGAAAGTCAAGTTTGTTTCTTAAACTCCTGGCATTCCATTGTAAAATATTTAAAATTTCCATGTTTCAGAAAGGCTTAAGAAAGAAAAAGATTTAATTAAATTAAATTAAGGAGAATAAAAGTAAAAAAGTGAGTACGTTAGGTAAAGTTAAAATTAGTATTAAACTTAAGGTTAAACCGGTTTGAAGTTCAGTTTATGTTTCCGCTTCTGCTTCTGCTTCTGCTCCTGGTGTTGATTTTGCTTTTTTCTTCTTCTCTGTCCCTTATTTTTTTCTTGAGTCTGTCTTGAGTCGCAGTAAGTTTGGGGTCAATATATTTGGTATTTTCGTTGAAAAGATTTTCTTTGGTATAGGTTGAGTTTCTTGAATTTTGGTTAGACCTTGTGGACTCATTGAAATGGACGTTGCTGGCTGATGTTTGGTTAAATCCACGAAATATTTCGTCGTCGGCGGGGGAATCTTCCCTCATCCTGATGTCAGCTTCTCTTCTATTCGAATAGCCATCTGTGGGGTTTGTGGATCTAGCACTCTCTTGGCTGAGTGGCCTCGTTGACGAGAACGAGCCTAGTGTTTGCATCCTGAGAACTTCCTTATCCTTGGACAAAAGACGGTTTAAATTTACAAATTGTGAGGGTGTGCTTTGATCAGATTGATTATTTTCTGTTGTCGCATTCGCTTGAGAGTTGGTGTTTTTCGGCTTGCCTTTAACTGTACTGTTGTTGACTGCACCGCTAAACGACTTGTTTGGTTCAAGATTTCCAAAAACTTTTGACAGAGCTTTTTCTCTTAAAACAGGGAAATCATCTGCTTTGCGGTGGTAACTACTGAATCTACTTAATACGACCTTCCTGGCTTCAGTGTATGGCATATTGTTATATGCCATGTAGATTTGGATAGCCTGCTGGTTCTTGTATTCCCCACATATTTTGGTTTCTGTGCACTTGTGATTAGATTTACAGAAATTGCACCAAGGTATACCATGCGTGCATTGGTGGTTTTCTTCTTTGGTCGAGTGGCATTGAATACAGGCGGTTTTACCTTTGCAGTGCGTACTAGTATGTCCATACCTTAAGCAGTTGAAGCAGAGCCTCGGATTCCTGACATATGGAGAGACTGCAGCGGATATACCAAGCACGTAAATGTTGTTTGGCATACGGTCGCCCTGGAAGGTAACTTCCATCGTTTCGCATGGTATCCACTTGTCGTCTTCTCCTTTTGCTAGCTTATTGAGTCTGGTAAGTCTTCTCACGCTTGTTACCTTGACTTCACTCCTGATGTTCTGTAAAATGGAATCATTCGAAATATCAGTTGGTATACCTCTTATGAGACCTTTTCTGACTTGTCTGTAGACGGGGATAAACGCAGACATGTTGTGCGAAGATAAAATTTCTTTGTCGCTCAGAAGTCCATTTGCCTCGTTTATGTCATTGAATAAAATTTCTACCTGGCCTGCTCCTTTGTCGGTCATGTCTAAGTAGTTAAATTTATTGTACAGGACATTGGCTACGTTGAACCTGCTAAGTCTACGACTGCTTTCATTATTGGAATTGTATTTTACCCACACACCAAATGGACTTACATTTGCGGAGGTGAATAGCATCGATTCTCTGGAAACGGAGTCCGTAATGCCGCCGGCACGAGTTGCAGTACCGCTCTGGCTGACTGAGGTCTTGATATTTTTAGTTGGAGGAGTTGCTTCGGAGGATTGTTTTTCTCTGAATCTTTTCTTATTTTCCGTTCCGATTGTCTTTACTCTTGCAGGTTCAGTGAGCAGCTTTTCTCTCCCGACGTCCTCGCTGTACTCCATGTCAAACTCCAGTCGACTTTGAGGTATGTCCTCGCCGCCTCCGGGGTCCCCCGGGTCCCTATCCATCCTTTTCTAGAACCCGCAAGCGGGTATCACCCTTTGGCGTAAACCAGAATTGAGGTTAAGTTTTTATTTTGCTTGAACTGGGGAACTAGGGCCCGGGTGGAAAATTCCACCCATATGGTAGATTGCAAAAGAGGAAAACCGACAATTGTCGGCCGCTTTTACGACTCTTTCACTGCTACAAAAACTCAACCACAGTTTATAAGAACTCGAACCAGTAAGAGCGATCCTCCGTAATCCGTAGCATCTGATAATTTCTAAGTATATCCAGACTTGCGTAAGGAATTGGGATCAGTAGCGCAGTCTCTTGGCTGTTTGAGAAAGTCGTACCATTTTTATATGTACTCCATCCATCTATGTGTTTATTGTACACTCGTTCTCAAAGTCTGCTCGAGCCAACCTGACGGCAAAAAAGCACCAATCTAGTTTAGGGCACAATGTCGCCGACCCAGGGGAAAAGTATGACATGTGATCTCTCTCACACTAATAAGTTATCTCTACATTATCTAAATACTTAGATTAAACGGCCAGTGCTTACGGAACGCAATTCCAGCACTCATATAAATTACACCTAACCTGATCAAAGTACTAACCTTACTTTTAGGTGGTCCTTTTCTTCTCTCTGACTCTTTTTCGTATCAAAACATTGAGAACATTCGAAAAAAGTTGCAATTTGGTTTTCTTATAACGTCAATGATGTATATTCCACATAATTGATGTGAATTAAAAAAAAATACAGCAAAAGTAAACTAAAAACGGTGAGAAGATATTATACTTAAATGTTAAGTCCACAATAGTGTCAATCAAAAGCCAGAAAAATGAACCAAGGTTACATGAAATTCCAAGAGGACGAGAGCATGGAGGAAGAAACCGCGGACGGTATAACATCCCTTTACGAGCGTTGCTACAAGGGCACGGCAAAAGTGAACCTAAGCTCGTACTTCGAGGATTACAAGGCCGTCCTGGTGAACTCGGACTTCGACAAGCACTGCGAGTCCGACTCGAAGAATTTCCTCATGAACGCAATGGCCAACGACGACATAGACGAGGAGAAGTTCGCCATGCTCGAGGAGCACTGCAGCATTGACAATTTAACGGTCGAGGGTGAGCTCGGCAAGATGACCAAGGCCACTTTCGAGTGGCTCAAGGATCCCACGGATCCAACTGTGCTCGAAAAAGCCGACCACCTGAAGACCGTCAAGTGCGCCAAACAGCGCAACCAGCTGAAATCTTACCAGGTGCATTCCAAGTATCGCAGCGAGAGACCTGTCGTGAGTGCCTAATTATGGCTTTATTTTCTTTTTCTTCCATCATCACTGATCCTGTATGTGTGTATCTTACTTGCTGGCTTGCGTTTCAGATTTACGAACCTGCTTCTGTTTCCCCTGGTGGTAAAACATTAGTTCCTGAAAATGACATCCTGGTTTTTATCAGAGTATATTTGCCCTTTACCAGTCGATCAAAGCTGACTACTGGGGCTCTGGGTAAATTGTCAGTCAACTTTGTCGTTGCCATGTATGGATCCCAGACTCTGGACCAACTGAGGGACTTTATCAAGTGTGAATCTGATTATTCGATTTCTGTGGAAATGAGTGATGCTCCAGTTAGATTTAAAACTGCTAATGCAAATGTTTGTTTGTTTGTTATTTTTTTTTCCATTATAAATGTTTAATGACTCTGGTAAAACTTTGATTTTTCTTTTTTGTCCCACAGAAGGTTTATAAATCAGGATTTTTCTTCATCGAAGACACGTTTTACAACGATTGCCGAGATCCCAATAACAAAGATAACAGTAAAGTGATCAGGGACTGGATGTCGTTGAAAAAATTGGGCAGTTATAAAATTGCAAAAATGGAAGAGACTAGGATCGATAGTTTAAAGATGAAATTTGGTTTTCCCTGGGTGTATCAGCACCAAGGTGACTGTGAACATTTGATTTGTTTCAGCGATGCCAGGTAAGACAGTAAATGGTTTTCATAAACAAGAACGTTTATAAGATTATTCTTTTTTTATTTTCATTTGATAAATAATCACAGACGTTTTGTTTGAAATGTTCAAATTAAAAATTATACATTAACAGTATTTCCTTACGTTGGTACAATATTTTAAAAAATAGTTACACTAATACCCGAATATAATAATTTTTTTCACAGACTGGTTAATAAGTCGGATGAATTAAATGCCAACTGTTATCCAAGAATAGTCAGGATTAAACCTAGACCTAATCGCTACTGTATGACCTGCGGTTTGTACAACGTTAGTTGGATCTCTACGAGCAACGACAGACTCCCGCACAATCCGTGCTTATTCTGTGACTCCTGTTTCAAGTCGTACAACTACGTCAAGGGTAAAAAAGTTGGGAACTTTAAGGCTTATCCGTTTCCTCATGACAACGAATTGGTGCAGCGACGGACGAAAAAAAAAATCTTAAAAAAATTGTCTTCCGCGACGAAACCTGAGAAAGATCCAGAAACCATTAAAATGGAACAGTAGCATAATGTTTCGTGAGTTAACTACAAAATAAGATTAAAGTTATTGACATTTTACGTCACTCTCTATTTTAAAGTTGAGAATGAGCATAGTGGATAAATTGCAAGCTACTGATGTGTGAAAATTATTTTTCAAATGTAGGGCTATTACCTTTTACAATATGTAATAACGCGTAAATTTGTTCATAAAAAGTGCTTACCTGGTTGTGTAATTGCCATTGTTTGTTTGTATGGTTCCATTTAATTTATTGAACGCGCATGTTAAAGTGTATTTATTGCTGCTGCGATTTAGAATTTTTCAATTTCTGTAAATTTTCCTTGATGCTAAGGGATGATGGATTAAGTTCTAAGGATTTTTTGTACATGATTTCAGCTTTATCGAATTTTTTCCATCGGTGATACAGTACACCTACAGTTGTATTTTTGTAGTTTTTTAAATATTTTGAAAAACATTAAAGATAAATAAAAAAAAAAAAATTGTAAAGTACACACCTAAATTCGTGTAATACACATAATTTGTTGGATCTAGAAATATTGCAGTCTGAAAGTGATGTTCTGCTTCCTGAAAACTTCCTTGTTTTCCCAGCACATTACCCACATTGAAATGTAGTGAAGAATCATGAGGCACATGCATCAGTGCTTGGCTTCCAACTTTTAAGGCTTGAGTGTGTTTACCCAAACTATCATGCAAAATAATCATGTTGGTCCACGCTTGGCGATGAGTTGGTTTTTGTTTTATTGCGATTTCCCACGATTTTAATGCCTTGTCGTGATTTTTAATTTCCAAGTACTAAAAATGAAAATTCTCTTGGACTACTCATTAGTAGAAATTAAAAGTTGAAGAAAAAAAAAGATTACCAAGAGTCCTAAATTATAATAGCAGTCGGGGTACTTAGATCTATGCGTGATCGCCGTGATGTAACATTTTTCGGCTTCCTTATATCTATTAGAAGCAGACAGTACAATACCCAAGTTCATCCATGCAGCGGAAAAATCGTTTCTAAAACGAGAAAATAATATTACACGTCGAATACACGAAAGGTGAAAAAAAATGAGATTTTACTGAATTTTGACTGCTTGTCTCAACAGTTTTTCAGCCTTGACGTAGTTGTTTTCATTCTTGTACAGATTGCCCAGATTGTTCATTGCCTGAGCGTATTCGGGATTCAATCTTTTAAACAAAACCATAAGTAAGCAGCAAAAGAAAAATAATCTAAAGTAAATTGCAACTAACCTTATAGCTTCCTCGTACATAAGCTTTGCATTTTCCACGAAGCCCCTGTCAGCCGCATTTTTGGCGACATTGTAGTGAACTTTTGCGTTCAAAGGACAAACGCTCAGTCCAGACTGAAACAGGGTTGTCTCTGTCTTCCACTGTTCACTTCTGATCCAAGAGCGAATCGACATCAGGAATAGCAAAGCACAGTAGGCTGCTGACATTGCTCTGGGTTTATCTATACTATTCGAAATTCTTTGAAAACCTATTGCTATCAGTAAGCAGTAACCGGCGGAAGGAACATACAACGTTCTCTCCGCAAGGACGAAGCCAACTGTGAAGAATACATTGCTAGCTGGTAAAAATGGTATCACAAGTAATGCCAGGGCAATGCTGACATGCCTGTAAAGTTACATGTATTTTTTTTTAATTCAAGAAACTATACATCGAATGTAATTATATTATTGATGAGTACCTTGCCAATAAGTCATTTTTATCAGAAAATACAGTTTTTATCAAAGCACCAAAGACTATCCACAATAGTAAGACAAAAACGATTCTTGGATCAGGACCGTAAATGATTGGTACGCAGCCCATGGACCAATCAAAGCACAGCCAGTCAGGGCACAGCAGCAGCCAAAAGTTCAACCAGTAAATGTAGTGGTAATTTATGATCCTAAGAAGCGAATTGTCGATAAACGATGCTGGATTGTCAACAGGTTTGAACACAGGTTTGGAAAACTCCATAATTCTAAGACGCAGCAGTACCAGAAGTACCCCTGCTAGTGTTAATACTGTCATGCGAATCAAAAATGATTTGGAAGGTAAGAATTTCTTAACGTCATCACTCATGTTTTTCAGTCTTATTATTTGTAAAAAATCAGCAGGTAGGATTTTGTTTGCTACAATCAAGTCATAGGTGACACAAATGCCCTGAAAAGCCAATGAAACAGGTGAAAAAACAATTTGTATCATTCCAAGTAACATTGAAAATTAAACTCACTAGGACAGCGATTCCGGTTTCTTTGCAAAACATTGCAACGGCACAATTCACGACGGACAACATCATACAGACACACTTGACAATAAAACATTGGGAATGTACACACTTGTAGTAAGAAACAACTGACAACCACATGAACAACCCGCACAGAATATCCGCCCTGCCCACAATACCAGAAACCTAGAGATGGAAAATAAGCAAATTAATCAAAGTAACTAGTCACCATGTCTGTTAGATTTTTCAAACTCACAGCCTCAGCGTGGATAGGATGAACCGCAAACAGCATAGCTGCATTGAACGACACTTGTGGCGCTTGCCAGTCCAGGAGAATTTCAAACACAAACAAAGTAACGACGCTGACGACGCTGTGCAACACCACATTGACGGCATGGAAATCAGCTGGATCCAAGTGCCCTTTCAGCCAATAATGCAGTCTGCAAAGTGAAATCGATGCAATGACAACGCGTGTCGGTGTCGCGTTAAACAAAAGGAAACAAAGAGCCAACCTGAAGGACAGCACTGTGAGCGGTCTGTACGACTTGTGGCTCTGCTTGTGCAACAAACTCGTGCCCCAGAAGTCGTTGGCGAACAGCTGATTGAGCGGCGTCGCGCCGCGGACGTCCTCGTTCTTGACGATGGCCTCAGAGTCGTCGAACACAAAGTCGCCATTGTACGAGTTAGCGAAGCACAAGGAGGCACCGATCACGAGGATTATCGAGGTTGTCAGGCTGTGGTGACGAGCTGGTGAACGCAAAAATGAAAAAGTCTCACTCGACCTACAACATGAGCTTTTTTATTGGCTTTATAAAGTGCTTTGGCTTACCTGCTGCTGCTGTTGTCGAATTTGATTCTTTTCTATTCATATTCCCATCTTAAGTGCACACTGCACACAAGTCTTTTTAGAATATACTATTAATCTCCGACTACATGTATAGAACGCAACCGAGAGATTGGGGTGAAATTGACGACATTTTTGTTAGAGGAATCGACAGTGATACGATAATATGTGCATTGCTTTTGTACGATGATGTACAGTGATATATTTACATTTTGATGTGTGTTTATACTTCTTTCTTCTTGACACTTGGAAGTGAGGTTATTTGTTTACACATTATATTTATTTGTGTCGTCTGCTTTTAGACAAGGCACATTTTCACTGCGGGCATTGCAGAATTGCAGATAAACAACAGCGGTGAACTTGACATGTGTACTTTCATTGAAATATACCTTAATTTCAACACTGTCGATTGGCGGGAAAATCGGGACACAACACAAGCCAAAATTTATTGCAGACAGCTGACTGAGCTGACTGACAGGCAGAGTAGAAAAAAAGAAGATTTTTCATGAAGTTGAAATATAAGCTAAGCTTACCCATCGTTGACTGCCAAAGGTGCATAAACTCAGCATGGACGATTTGTCGGTGTCCAAGGTATAAATTCAATGTTTGTATATAATATTTTCATAACCCAAACCGTAATTGCTTGGTACACAAATATTATTATTTCATATGCAATTTCACAGGGTGTTTTTGCCCACTGCAAAAGGCCCGTGGTAGGAAAAAAGCCGGTGAAAAAACGCAAGAGTGATGAATACATGACCAGCAAGCCTTTTCTCCAGCACAAGAGCGAACCCTGGTACGAGGCATATTCGGAGATCAGTTTGGCAATAGATAGAGTTGCAGCTGTATGTTCATATGATTTTTTTTTTTTTTTTTTCAAATACATCGCTTTGTCTTTTTGCATCCATTACTTGGAATGTTTTATATTTGCAGGAGGTACACGACAACACGTTCAGGCAGCTTCTGTATGATTTGAGGGATTTCGTCGTCAAGATTAAGAACATGCCTCTATTGTCGGATGAAATATCAACTGGTATTCTTCTAGCAGGTATGTTATTAATCGGTTTTTACTTTGAAAACGTGACACAATGTGGCAATGTTGATGGTTAAACCTGTTGCTTAGGTGTCAATCTACCTGACCACGACTTGCTGTTGCAAAAGCTGGTAGGTGAACTGGAGTCAGTCACACCTTATGTGGCCACTGCTTGGTCCAGGGATGCTGTAAGCTTAAAGCATTTGACCGAAGAAGTGGTGTATCAGATAATCAATCAATCAAATCCTGTAAGTGTTACGTATTCTTGTGCCTTTACATTGTTGGAGTGCAAACCATTATTTTGCTTGTGTATTTTGTATGCCTGAAGGAAGATTATGAAGTGAAAAAGAGTAATTGTACCTTTTGCGCACTTAATGCTTGGCACCAAGAAACTAACAATGGAGAAACTCCGTTGGTCATTTTAATAGCTGACTTTGAAAGCTTTTGTCCCACGGTATTACACGATTTCATACTTATTTTAAGGTATGTATTTTTTGGTTGATTTATGGTTACATCTGTTTGATAGTATTCACAAACAAAAATCTCAAACATTTTAGTTCTTACATGACGACCATAAAATTTGTACTGATATTTGGCGTTGCAACAACTTTGCACATTATACACAGGTCTCTGTCATATGATGCCACATCGAAATTAAAGTGCCAAGTGAGTTATTAAAGATTTTTTTTTTATTTTCACTGTTAACATAACCAGCTGATGCTGATGTATTTCAATCAGGTCTTTCGAATGAAAAATCAAGTAGAAATACTGGAAAATGTATTGGATGGCATAATATCGTCACCCGACATTCCGTTCAAAATAATCGGCGGGACGTTTGATATGCTCGTTGACATATTTTTGTGGTATAATTTTTCAGTTGAAGATTTCCTTAAAAGTTGCAAGGTAAATGTTTTATTCTCAAGCTTTGATTCGACGTGGAACGTAAATTTTTGGAACATAATTTGTAGATATGCTTGTGGAGGCACTTTTATAATTCAAATGAAAAAATAATTTGCTGCAAAAAAGAAGTCATATCGGAAAACGTGGCTCGTTTGACAAACGATGATTTTAACAAATTGAAAAAACTTGCATCGATTAAAGAGTATCTGGATCAGTCAAGGAAAGGAAAAAAAGTAACCGATGCCAGATTCAAGGTAAGGATGTTTATACTGCTCGATTTTATGCTACCGGACGTCATTATCTATTCTTACGTTTTAGGAAATAATAATGGATCTACTAGAAGACTATCTCGACTATATGAATAATTTTTTATTGATACTTAGATGTTTGTTTAAATTATCCTGTAACGTTGGATTTCCTTTTGGAAAAACTGTGAGCATTTTTATGATTCAATAGTTAGTTACCAAAAAAAATCTTTACTCAAAGGCTTTTTTAACTAAAAGTTTTGGTGTTTCAGTTTCGGCAATTGTATGTCACCGCTATTGGCCAACTCGATCTATGTGAAACTCCCGAATACAAGAAAGCCACACAATTAATGTTTTTTCTATCCAGAGAAGAAATTTTATCAAACATACTCATGATTATTTCTCATCTGGAAAAATCGGAATCGATACCCAAAGACATTACGACTCGTTTTGGACATCATTACGACGTATTGAAAAGCGCCAGTGAGGTTGAAATTGAAGAAGAAAACAAAAAGTCGCTAGCACAAATTAGAGGACGAAGCCAATTGCTCAATGTACTTTCACTTAATTTCGTATAGAAATAACTAAGAAAATACTGAAATGATTAATTTTTTTGTAGACTTTGAAACATAATTCGTTAACGTCCAACCTATCGGATTACAAAAAAGCCAAGATCGACTTTAAAAACTTTCTCAATAAGGAATTCTTCCAAAACTATTTGAGGCACCCTAGAAAAGTGCCGATACACGAAATTTTTTGTTTCAACGACCTGGGCACCGTGCAACATTACATCAAGGGCTCGACAAAAGCTTCGATTTACAACAGCTTGAACGACCCACATATTTTACTGCCTGTAAGAGAATTTTCACTTGCACTTGATTTCTTTCATTCCTCCATGACTTGATCAATATTTTCAGAACACCTGCTGTGTCAATCAACCTAACATTTCTCAGCATCCGGACATCAATATAATCTATGCATTGCACATGGAGAACAGAAAAATGATCAACATGTACGATTGGCTGCAGGTAAATTGGGTTGTGGTCCAACTGTGGAATGTCAAGTGGAAAAATTAAAATGCAACTCCCTTTTCAGGCCTTTGTATGCATCGTGGATCCAACTGCTGCCGGTGAAGAGAAGGAAATCGATCCACTCTTGCAGTATCCTTTTTTTTCGATATCTGTATGCTTTTTTTCCCCAACACGCCTACATTTTCCTCAACGTTAATTTATCACAGGGCCCGTTTTTCTCGGGCAGTGGCGGAGCTTCAATTTTTAGGCTTCATCAAGCCCACGCGCAGGAAAACCGATCACGTCAAACGATTGACTGTTTAAATTGCACAGCATTGCTGTACTTGAAACAAAAACTCCTTTACCTCTGAAATTACACGTGCCTTGATTTGATGAACTTGAAGTTATGAATTATTTGTACAATTGTCACAGAGCAAACTCGAAAATGCATAAATGTACTTTGCGAGAATCCAAATGAGTTCTCTAAAGTTTTCTTTTTTTTAATAAACATATTGATATTTTGTAAGTACAATCGATTTTTTTTTTTGAAGTCACATCCAAGATCCCAGATGGGAATACTTGATTATCACTGTCGAGAAAAAAAATATGATTTTTTGCTGGCACGATGAATCGATTCAACGCTTCAGAAGCATTTTCAGAGGGATCGTCAGGTAAGCATCTTATTTTTCATTACTAGTATTTTTCTTGGAAAATAGGAGCCAAGCGCAAAATCGGGGATGTTCGCAAGATATGCAGTTGTATGTATTCCTAATATTTGCATGAAACAGCTCACTGAGCACGTAGCATTGTGTTTACAGGAATCCTTTTGCTTTGCTTTTTCCAGCTGGAAAAACGACATTTTTAGATTGCGATGTTTCACACGTGAAAACTATGTGCTCGGAAATACACTCGATGATCGTAATACCGATGGGACGAATTTTTTATCTGCTCGTGTTCACAGAGTGTAAAATTCGAGACAAAGCCTTGAATTTTATAAAATAAGCTAGTGGCCAAGCGGAAATTATATATTCTTCACTTGACTATTATTGATTAAGTTTAAAATAGAGTAGTAAAAACTGATAATAACTAATAATAACGAAGTATAAACTCCAGATGTGAGACTAATACGTTAAAGATCTATCATGCTGTGACAAAAACTTTATAACAATTATTATCAGTCATCCATTTTTTTTTTTTTTTTAAGCAAAATTCGATTATTCATGTAATTACTTTGTGTACATATTATGAAACAACAGTTCAAAAATATGAAATTTTAAGACTATTGAAAATAGTACCTGAAGAAAATTATACACATGTTAAATAATGACCATTGTATATTTAATAGCTGTTTTTAAAATACGTATACAAAAAAAAAAATAGGTTGGACACAGAAGGATTTTTCAAGAAAAAACAAAATAATGAGATATGTAACCATTTTAATGAATTATTATAACTGCAACAAACGACTATATTAATGCAAAACGTTTTGCATATAAGGTACGACCAATTGACAGCAAGGTGCCAGAGAAAAAAAGTTTTTTAAATAACAATGAACATATTATTTCGTTATAAGTAATATCTGACTGAGTTTTAAGTGTCAATATGCTAACTTTGAATTTAAACTAACAAACGATTTTTCAGCTATTTTGAAACGTTTTTGTGATGTACATGAGTTAGAAGGAGTAAAACGATTTTTTTGCCATTTTGAAACGATTTTTGTCGATTAAATCGTTAAGACGGCACTTAACAAAAAAACTTGCTTTGCAAAAATCCAAATTTAAAGATGGTTAATTACAGTGTCGTTGCGAATTCAAAATTATCGATTAGATAACTATATAGTGTACTAAGAAGGGGTCTGGGGAGCAGATGTGATAAAAAAAATTTTGTTCAAAAATTCTGACTTGGGGCTTCACAATAGCAAAAAAAGTACCGGTAAACGCTCTTCTAAAATTTTTAAAAAATAGCATTTTAATAAACATTGGTGAGTATCTGGATCAGTCAAGGAAAGGAAAAAAAGTAACCGATGCCAGATTCAAGGTAAGGATGTTTATACTGCTCGATTTTATGCTACCGGACGTCATTATCTATTCTTACGTTTTAGGAAATAATAATGGATCTACTAGAAGACTATCTCGACTATATGAATAATTTTTTATTGATACTTAGATGTTTGTTTAAATTATCCTGTAACGTTGGATTTCCTTTTGGAAAAACTGTGAGCATTTTTATGATTCAATAGTTAGTTACCAAAAAAAATCTTTACTCAAAGGCTTTTTTAACTAAAAGTTTTGGTGTTTCAGTTTCGGCAATTGTATGTCACCGCTATTGGCCAACTCGATCTATGTGAAACTCCCGAATACAAGAAAGCCACACAATTAATGTTTTTTCTATCCNTTTTTTTTTTTTTATGAATAAAGTTTAATATAATAATTAGCTTATGTTGTACTCAGACATTAATTTTGAGATAATTTCATGTATTCATTGGTCTTACGAGATTTCTGACACTTTTTTTAGGTGATTCAGTTTATATAAGTTTGACACAGATTTTTCAGCTGATCTCACATTAACTTTGTCTGGTCAGTCCGAGTGATTCCATTAACTGAATAGCTCGTAAGTATATTACTTTGTTCATTGCAACGAGTCCACTGTGCAAAATAGACTTCGTGCTAATTAAAAAAAAAAAATTTATTAAAACTTTTTTAAAAATAATAACTTTTTCCTTTTTAGCCAGTTTGCATCCGATTTACTGTGCGGAATGTTAATTTTTGTTGGAATTTCTTTACAATTTTTATTAATTTTTTTCTCTCAGTGTACAGCGTATTTATTGCGTGGGAGATGACTAATTACTGTGTGTATGAATTTCATTAGCTCACCGGAACATAATTAGCATATGGTTTACAATTGACAAACGAATAAGGTAAATTACGGAGACCGGCTGATGTCGTAACCTTCGAATACATTCGCGTGGGAGTCAACTCCAAAACTCGTGCGGAAGTTGGAGTTCGCTAAGTTTGCTCGTGAAATTATTGGACGTCAGGCATAATTAGTTACTGGCTCATTTGTGAATCATAAGTACACGAAGGGGTGGAATCGCGATTTAAAGAGTTTTACATGTACAAAAAAAAAAAAAAAAAAAAAGAATAAAACGATTTTTTTATTTGTTTTTGTAAAAAGCATATATGGAATAAATAAAAAGAAATAAAAGTGAAATTGCTCTGAAATTGCTTGAAATCATTTATAAATGTACACAAATAAACTAAATAAACGGTATTAAACATTTCATGAAACAAATGAGATGATCTAACACCGTAAGCGAGTACATATTTTAAAATTTATTTGAAAAAAAGAAAGTATACTTAATTTGTTTTTTTTTTATTTACTCAAATAATACGCCAAGTTTACTCTGTTGTGGTTTTTTTTTTTTTTTTTTTTTTATATATTATAGTGCTTTACGTCCGGCTGCTATAAAGGGCACTACTTATACTCTGGGCACTTAGCACTTGCAGGGAGTAGGAATAGAAGAGGGATGGGAGGCCACCCATTGCTGGGAGGAGGGTAGGGGGAAATTAGGCAATTATGCTGCGAGAAAGTCACCTAAGCCCTCCTCGAGGAGCATTGCTTGGTGAAAAAGCACATGTGAAAATTCACTGAGGTACTGGCCTAAAAAAGTCGCACTGGTCGGGAATCGAGCCTTTTTTTTTTAAGTTGTTATTTGCAGATTAAGACAAATTTGTAGATTTTTTGGCGCAAAAAAAATACAAACAAAGACCATAATAAGGTAAAGTATCCAATTACTGCGGGTGACCCAACTACTGCGGATTCCAAATAAATATAGAAATTAAATATTTTTTTCCATGCCAATCCAACTTGATATTTTTTTACGGTCTTAGCAAACGATAATATTTAATAATAAAAATAATTTATGTGTATCTTAAAGTTAATACTTGTCAAAAACTTATATTTAATATCACGATATCTGAAAACCTGACATTTTTACAATTTTGGGACTCCCGCATGACTGATAGAAATACTCGAATCTTTGTATTTATAGTGAAAATACAGATACTGTTTATAGTAACAAGTAAAATAAACGTTGTATTTTAAGAAAATGATGTTACATTTTCATTTTCATTTATTTTTTACTGATGAATTGATTAGGTAACCGTTCTTGTCAAAGAAGGCAAAGGAATGGGGAGGCAGATAGCATGATTGGGCCACATCTGGAAAAACCTCTAGCGGCGTCTGTGACGAAACTAACGCAGTAGAAAAGCTCTCAATTTTGGCGAGATTCGCAAAGTGGTCCCAGTTGATTTTTAAAAGAAAATTGAGAAATTGGGGGATTTGAGCCAGATTATAAATGACTTTATTACTTACGAAATGACCGGAGTCTCTTTTTCTAAAGATGTGCAGACCAAACACGTAGACAACGACGCTCACAAATTTGCGGAATTTTTCAACTATACAGGCGCTTAAGTTCCACCAGACAGGCGAATCGAACCACGATCTCCCGCAGGCCAATCCACGACCTAGCCGACTGAGCCACCGTGCGCTCCGCGAAACAGTATTACGAGGTAGGGATTAGCCTGGATCCGATGCGTGGCAGGGATCGCCAGCCTTATCGGCGAGGAGTAGTTCCTGAAATATGGAGTCCTCTCCGGGGAAAGGCTACACAGTAGCGTGTGGACACGGTGCACCATTGGTGCAGAGTGTCAGTTTCACCGGAGATACTCGCAATGTGCCCATGGATTAGGTATGATATCAGTTAAAAGTTTGGAAATAGGTGCAGCAATACACCCCCACACATTGGTGGTGAGTGAATGGCCCCGGTGACTAGTTCAGTAGGCTGTCGTGGTAGCCCGGTAAAAAAAAAAAAAGATTAAAACGCTTTCATACTAACTTGTAATAAACAATTGTGAATAATAAGTCTTCTTACTTGTCTTGAATCTAGGTATTAAAAGTGTTACTATTTTATTTTTATTTTCTGCAAATTTTTAATAATAATTATCACCAACATATCAAAAAAAATTATTTCCACTTGGATCTCTTCGCAAACTGGACTTGGATAAATACAAAAAATATTCAAGCTGATCTCTCTTATAAATGAGTATCGAGAATACCATCATCTATCGATCTTCCATTGCTCTATTCGCAATTATTTGAGTGAATTTCCCACTGGTATTTCCTTACAAAGCTCTTTTTACACATGAAGCACTCAAATGGTTTTTCCTCGCTCTCCCAGACTACTGAATGATTTGTTGGGTTGGTGACGTTTTGATTGAAACTCTTCGAAGATGGTGAACCATTGGACTCTTTACTCGCGTGGGTTGGCTGGTCATTCATGAGATTTGGTCTAGTATCGGAATTTTTCGAACACGTATGGTAACTTGAGTTATCAACCGTGTGAGTTCGCTTGTGCTTAATAAAATTACTGGAGTCAGAAAACCTTCTTTGACACACTGAGCAGCTGAAAGGTTTCTCGCCCGTATGGATGAGTTTGTGATTCTTGAGATCACTGGATCGAGTAAAATGTTTTTGACAGATGGAGCAGCCATAAGGTTTCTCGCCCGTATGTATGAGTTTGTGTCTTCTGAAAGAACTGGGGTCGGCAAATCTCTTCTGACATACTGAGCAGCTGAGAGATTTTTCACCGGTGTGGATTACCTCATGTCTCATGAGAGAAAATCTACATCTGAAGGCTTGTGGACACTTTGTACAAACGTAGGGCCTTTCATTTGTGTGAGTAAGCATGTGTGGTGCAATATGACTTTTCTGGCTAAATTTTTTATCACAAACTGAACACTGAAATGGCTTTTCGCCCGTATGGGCTCGAATGTGCGCCACAAGCTTACTATGGCAAGAAAAAGTTTTTTTGCATACTTCACAATGATAAAATTTCTCGGTCCTTACATCATTACAATTCTGTTGATGCTGCTGCTTTCTATAGTTGTCCATATCCATATGACTAAGTTTTATCGAAAATTATCGAACAGTTGGGGTGTCATTTGCTTTTGGGTGTTTGTCTGATTCTTCGTCGTCGTCGTCGTCGTTGTGATGCCTTTCGTAACTAAAAGCAAAGTTGTTCATCAAAGATTAATAATAATTAAACATTTTCTTTAGCGAAAAACAAAATTTAATGTTTGCTGTTTATCGAGGACTTTGCATTTAGAAGGTTCTTAGCCCAGACCTAAATGACTTGACATTAAAAAGTTACACCCCACTCATAATAGACTCGAAGGGGCTGCGCACTCTTAGAGTTATGAAAAATACTTATCATTCTAATTCTTCCAAAGACTTTAGAGGTCTTCAAGAGGCTTCAGACTTTTTACTGGAACTTCAAGAGAGCATATAGCTCAAACCCATTAAAAAATACTTCATAAGTCATTCTAAGTCTTCCAAAGACTTTAAAAGTTTCCATAAGACTTAAGACTTTTTACCAAGAGTGCAAGAGTGCAAGACTTCAAGAGTGCATGTAGCTTAGTCATTAAAAAATACTTTAAGTCATGAAAGACTTCATAAGTCATTCAAAGTCTTTCAAAGACGTAGACTGTTTATCAGGACTTCAAGAGTGCATATAGCTTAAAGTCATTAAAAAAGACTTCATAAGTGATTCTAAGTCTTTCAAAAACTTCAGAGGTCTCCAAAAGACTACAGACTTTTTACGTGATTGATGGTAACATGAAAATTGTGTACGTAAGATGTAGTACGATCTTGTACAGAGATGAAAAAATGAGCAAATAATGTAAGCAAAATTTTGTGCTCTGAGTAGTTATAAAAGTAGCATCAAAAACGGAAATCGCGTATTTTGCATTCAACATAACTAGGAATTATTTAAAAAATGACAGTTGTATCTTGGAAGTAAGAAAAGCTCATGTCACATCAAGTCTACGGAGATATCTTTGCTATGAGAAATCGCCTTTCTTTCTAAAAGAAAAAAAAAATTTCAACTCTGATGCTATAAACTTACCTCGCAGTCACAATAAACTTTATCTTATGTGTTTTCAATTTTTTGCCAAAGTAAAGTAATTAAATCTTGTCTCCACGAGGTTAAAAATTTATTCTAGCGTTATATTCTTATAGATTTCACGCAGGTATTTAGTATGATGCATATCTTGAGACACTAACTTTGACGATGAATCTTCGACGTTTGGAATAAGAAAATGCTTTTTAAATAGGTACATCACATCCAATTATAGACACCAGCAATTATAGTCACAGAGATATCGTTAATGGCACTATAGTTGAGAATTTTTCATTACTGGTTTTACTGGTTTATATTGTAAGCGACACGGTCATTGGCTAACTTAGAATACGTGATAATTCAGGAAAGACATGTATCAATAATAGATTATGTTTATCTATGTAGAAATTTACGAAATTTTTGTATTGGCTAGTTAGTCGTTAATCTTGCATTATACTTGAAAAAAAAATTAAATTCCGTTTTTATCAAATCGTTAACAGAAGAGGTACAAATTGCCTTCAATTAAAAATTGAAAATTTTCTTGAAAAAGACGCTCACCAAGTAAACATTTTTTACATGTACAATAATAAGTGTATATGTATAATGATGAAAATCATATACTGTTTCATATTGAGAAGCGGCCTAGTCTAGTAGAAACACTACTCTTGCATAGAAGGCACGACCAACCTACAACAAGGTGTCAGAACAAAAAGCGTTATTTAAGTAACATAATTCAATTTTGATATTATTCCATTATCATATCCAACTGTAATTGGGTCAAGTAAAAAGCTGTAAAAAGTGAAAAAATATAATTATGCTGAAAAGTACCGTGCATTTCTCATACCATAAAATGATCGTTGGCCTTAAAAGGCCGTTGATTTGCAGTTTCTTCCGTATAGTCTATGAACAGGGCTTTTTTAAAGCTGTAAAGATTCAAAGCTCAAAAAAAAATATATAACTAACATTATTATCTTACTCTTATCTGACAACTTTATTACCCGAGCAACACAATCATAGAACCTAATCTCTATACTTTTTATCGTCCCAAAACTACAAATACATATTCTACGTATTTGAAAATCTGAAAGATTCAAGAGATTACTATGAGGGTTATAGTTAAAAACTGATCTCTCACTTAATCAATTCTTTCGTCATTTTCTTAACGCCTAAAATTGTATTCATAAGATGCATTTGAAGTTATTCTTCTAACTCAAATTCTTGTGACTTCTGGCATAGTTGAGACTCTTGTGAGCCCTAAAGGCTGTTTTTTTCAACTTTATTAGGTTGTAATATATTTGTTGGCAAGGTAGTTCGACGTCCGATAGCCCTAAAATAGACCGGTGAGCTTCTTACACAAGCTCTGAAGTGCTGGAGTAGGTTGTGCTCTGGCTTGAAACGTTTCCTGGTATTCCACCGGAGATGTTGACGTTCCGAACGCCTATTTTTCTGTAGCATTCAATTATTTTGGGGACGTAGGGTAAAACCCAATTTAATTTTGCTTGCTCATGAAAGAAGAGTGTCATCGGTAACCGAGATACCCAGCTGCACGACGGACTCCTCTGTTCTCGGTGTAGTGTCGATGATCGAACACAATGATAGTTAATTCGATGGGGCATCTTATAACCACTCTTCACTATCTTTGGTTGCGGGTGGCTTCAATTTTACCTCGACGCTACCTAGCAGATCCTACTGAACTAAAGTGCAAAGCTAGCTTATTTTAGAAAAACTTTGAGCTTATTTATCGCTATTGTTATTAACTTTAAAAAAAAAACTATGCGAAAACCATCTCGGAATCACGAAGAACCCGTATGCAAAATTTCAGCAAAATCGGTTCAGTAGTTTTCGCGGTTAGCGATTACAACGGTTTTAGCGACTTTGCTTTTTATATTAGTAAGATAAGATGCTAACTTTGAATTTAAACTAACAAACGTTTTTTTAGCCATTTTAAAACGGTTTTTGATATTAAGTGTATGATAAATAACACACTATATAGATGAATTTGGTCAATACAGACAATTGTATTTTTAGGAGATCTGAATCTCTTGTATTAAACATTTGCTCTGCAAATGTGATGTGCAAAAATTAGAAGCTGTAAAACGATGTTTCTGCCATTATTGAAACGATTTTTGCCGATTAAATCATTAATATAGCACTTGAAAAAATAAATTCATTTTAACGAACTCTACAATTTTTGTTTTTAACGTTTTGTTGTGGAATTTGAATTCATTTCTGTTACAGGAAAAAAAACGGTTTCTTCGCTGTTTTTGCATATACATTTTGCTATTAGAGTAACATAGTCTGTGTCTTTTTATTAGTCTAAAAGCACTGCACAAAAAATACCGCGAAATTTTTCCTTTTATAAACTATAGTTCCTACAGTTAGTGCCACACACCAGAAAAGCGTACGTATAGTTATAGTTTTAGATTTAACTTGTCGAAAAATCTACGTTTTCATGATTCATCTACTGGTCTCCGTCTAATCAAGATTGGTTTGGGGAAAATTTTGGCACTACATTCCTACAAGAGTCTATGTTTCAAAACTGATTTTAACCTACTTCTTAAAGTGACTTCACCAATCAGCCCTCACCTCAAATTTAGCAGTAATTCATTTTTATAGTACAGATAATTCCTGAAAGTTTTACGATGTTTCAGAACTTTTTGATTTTCCACTAAATCATCTATACTCTCTAAACTTGCAGTTGTGTAGAACCACGATTTAAAAGTTACAGATACTTAACGTCATAAAACAATAAAAATATACTCTAGAATCGTTAAAAATTCCACTGTGTTAGTACGTAAAAAAAAAAAACTCTAGCAGAACCGTCACGTTATGTGCACTCGTAATGAGTATATGTGTGAATATGAATGCTTTGGAACAATACAATCTTAGCTCCTAAATGGTGTTCTCCCAATTACAGATAGTTGTTGTGTTTTTTCACCATACTAAATATTTTAGTACTATATTTTAATTTTTTTTGAATTATCGTATTTCAAAGTGACGTATTCCCTCTGTATAGCCGTATATATACTTATAAAATCAAAAAGTAAATCACTCCGACAAATCATCGATCGTCAATTTCATCAAAGTCAAAAAAATATATGGAATCAAAGTAAAAATCCACTCAAAAAGCAGCACCGAGATCCACGTATTTCACCCATCACCTGTAACTCACTATAACATACCCGCACGTAAAAAAAAAAAAAAAAAAAAAAAAAAGAAGCTCTTGATCAAAGTGGAAAGGGTAGGTTATAAGAGGCTCGCGCGCGCGCACGGCTTGTAAACACACACGGCAACGGTGGAAGTGGCAAAAGACGACGGAGAGAGCTTGCATCCGAGCTTGCGAGCTTTAGTCGAGCTCGGGCTGCGAGCGGGTTCCGGGCGCGTGACCCTGACTCCCCCTTTTTTCCACACTTTTGATGTCGGCGCCAAAGTGCGTTTCCTTGCAATATGTTGTTTTTTTCAATCATATTTTTTTTTCAATCGTCCGTGTGATTTTTCTGGCAAGTAATTTACACATTGCGCGGTTACGGCTAGTGCGCGGTTTCGGAAAGCTCGAGATTTTCGATCCGTTACGTGCGTCGTAGTTATGTTATTGTTGCTCCTACGATGTATTTTGCTTTTGCTGGAGGTGAACGTTGAGTTTTCGCACAGGTGAGGATGATATGGTTTCACCCCCCCCCTTTTTTTTCTAATTGACAGCTCTGGTTTTCGGCTGGGCGCGCGCGTGCCAAGTTCAACAGTGACATTGTTTTGGACGTGATGACAGCTGTGGTTGTCCTTCGAATAGGGT